ATTATGATGAGTTAATATATTATGCGTATCCCATGAAGCTATTAAGATCCCATCGGTGGGTGATTTTGTAAAAAAAAAATTCAAATTTTATTTTCTTATAAAATTAAAATATTTTGACATTGCTAAATAATTTTGAATTATGTTCATGGGAATTGTAATTTTAGCCACAAGCAATTAGGTGAATTGTCCTCCTAAATAAAGTTGCCTAAAATAAATCGATACCGTAGAGAACAAAATGTAAAATAATATTATTTATGAATAATTAATCCCATATTATTGAAGAGCATTTATGACCAATTGATCGGATAGAGATTTTCTCGTTAAATTAAAATTATTAATTTGATTAATAATTAGTTTTCAATATGCGACCCAATTGGTCTCATAATGTCATATACATGCAATACAGTTCTACTCTATCATTTGTTGTTATGGATTTAATTTTTGAATAATCCTTAAATGTTTAGGAATTGTTATCCATAAGGCTAGTCTAATCCTATATATAGAGTTCATATGTAGCCTTATGGACTCATGACAAATATGAAAACGTCATGAGAATAGAAAATTTTTAGAACTTATTTTGTTTATTGATTCTCTTCAATGATGGGTGTATTGTAGTTGAAGTCTTTTTCTCTTGACGAAACTTTTCAGGTAGATCTTGGGAGATGACATTGTAGAGGATCGGAAAGTGTTCTAGATATTCCTCTAGTTTTTATTAATTTAGATTAATTCATGTTATATGAATATTTTGTCTTGTTGTATGTTGTATTTCTAACATTTAGTACTGATGAAAGAAGAATTTGTCCTCCTATATATAAAAGAAAATGTTGTGCGGGGCGACATTTACAATGGCGATTGAGTTTATGCTTACGTTTCTACAGTTTTACTTTGATTGGGAGCTTCCAACAATAATGAAGCCTGACGATATTGACATGAGTGAATCGTTAGAGATAGCGACAGGAAGAAAGTACGATCTATGCTTGGTTGCCAAACCTCAAAATTCATCATGATAATGGTACGGTAAATTTTAGTTGGCAGAATAAGGAACTTAGCAGAGAAATTGGCTTGTTGGATAATAATGTGAGTTTGCTGGATTATCTGTTGATTTATAATCAAAAGTTTTCACATTTTGAACATTATTGTTAGGGTTGTTATGATTTTAGGGTGTTTTGGATATTAGTCTCTTAAATCATTAATATTTTCATTTTAGACCTAAAATATTCATTTAATTTGCTATGAAAGCTCACCCAAATCTTATAAGTTGTCTTAAAACTATTCCCTCAAATCATTGAAAATTGTTATTAGGTTGACCAATGTTTATAAGTTATTTCTAGCTAATCCTTCCAATCAGTTATGGAAGTAACCAGACAAGAATTGCTGAACTTAATAACAATTTCAATGAATATTTAAGGGACTAATTATTTCAAAAATTATAGATTTAGAAACTTTTCATCAAAATGCAATTTAAGGTTGGACTTCCTTATTGATGTCACCTTCTAAAAATTTTAAGATTGTACTTTTTCCCCCATAAACAATGATTCCAGTAATCTAGTGTCAAGGCGACATTTTGGTTAAAATTTCATCGAACAGCATTGTCGTTTGTAACGTACTGACGTCAAAATGTCTATTTTGAAGAAATCGCATCTTAAATCTCATTGATAGAGCACAAGGGGAAGTGTGTCCCATACATGTATGCATGCACAGATTGGTTATGCCATCCAGTGCAGAGTTGAAGAGGGAGTTATTTGACGAGGCGCACCGCACTCGGTACGCAGTACATCCAGGGACTACCAAGATGTACAAGGACCTGAAGAGGCATTTCTAGTGGAGTGGTATGAGGAGAGAGATTGCAGACTATGTGGCTAGATGTTTTACCTGTCAGCAGGTGAAGGCAGAACATCAGAGACCGGCAGGGACACTATAGCCTTTACCCATTCCGGAGTGGAAGTGGGCAGATATTTCCATGGACTTTATTGTGGGGTTGCCGAAGTCGAAGAAGGGGAATGATTCAGTTTGGGTGATAGTGGACCGGTTGACGAAGTCAGCACATTTTATTCCAGTGAGGACCACTTATACAGCCGAGGCTTATGCGAGAATCTTCATTCGGGAGATAGTTCGACTTCACGGAGTACCGGACACGATCGTGTCAGATCGAGGATCGGTTTTCACTTCACATTTTTGGAGGAGTTTCCAGGACTCATTTGGCAGCACGCTATCTTATAGCAGTGTATTTCACCCCCAGACGGATGGCCAGACAGAGAGGGTGAATCAGGTGTTGGAGGACATGTTGCGGGCATGTGTCATTGACTTCCAAGGTAGTTGGGTCTAACATATGAATAAGAATTTCATAGCCATAGATACCAAGAAACAAATAACATCAATCATGTAACGTATATGAGTAAAAATTTTATAGCCATAGATACCAAGAAACAAATAACATCAACCATGTCTCACACAAGACAACTAAAATATAGCATTAAAAAATACTAATAAAAGCAATAGTAAACAAGAGAGCCATAATCTGTGTAAAGCTTCAACTCATACTCCTATAATCTTCATAATTTGCTTCCAAGCTCAAAGTAATGATGAAGAGAGAGGACTTTGATAACACATGGAATCATAGGAGTTGTTGGCCGAGAGAAGGAAACTCAAGGCTTTGGCTGTTCAGGTAAGTGTGGCACCTCAGGCTTTGGTAATTCAGGAGGTGGTGGAATCTCAGGCTTAGGAAGAGTTGGAATCTCGGGTAGTGGAGGTAAGTCGGGCTTTGGTAGTTATGGAAGAGGTGGAAGTTCAGGTTTTGGAAGAGTTGGAATTTCGGGAAGTGGGGGTAACTCAGGTTTAGGAAGTTCAGGCAAAGGTGGTAATTCAACCTTAGGTACTGCTGGGGGAAGTGGGGGTAACTCAGGTTTAGGAAGTTCAGGCAAAGGTGGTAATTCAACCTTAGGTACTGCTGGAATCTCAGGTTTCGGTATAGTTGGTGCATCTAAGATTGGTGCTTCCTCGGTTTTAGCGGCGGTCGTTACCTTCGGTAAAGGTGGCACTTCAATCTTAGGTAACTCTGGTAGATCCTCGGTTTTAGCGGCGGTCGTTACCTTCGGTAAAGGTGGCACTTCAATCTTAGGTAACTCTGGTAGATGAGGTAGTTCAGGTTTTGGAAGGGTTGGAATCTCAGGAAGTGGGGGCAACTCAGGTTTTGGAATTTCAGGCAAAGGAGGTAATTCAGGAATCTCGGGTTTCGGTATGGTTGGTATCTCAGGAAGTGGTGCTTCCTCGGCTTTAGTGATGGTAGGTATCTTCGGTAAGTGTGGCGATTCAACTTTAGGCGACTCTGGTAGAGGAGGTAGTTCGGGCTTCGGGAGAGTTGGAATCTCAGGCAATGGAGGCATTTCAGGCTTTGGAAATTCAGGTAAAGGTGGTAATTCAGGCTTGGGCAGATTCGGAATCTCAGGTACTGGAGGTAGCTCCGGCTTAGGGATTGTTGGAATTTCAGGTAACGGAGATTCGAGAAGAAGGCGAGCAGCTTCGCCCGTGAAGCAGCTGATGATGAAGAGTGCAATGAGGAGACTCATAGAGAAGAAAGGAACTCTAGGAGGCGAAGCCATTGTATTGTAGCAAGGGAAAGTGCTTGATTTGGATAGAGTACTGATTGAGCGAGTATTTATAGATATATTTTGAATTGCCTCATAGGTAGGTTGTTTGTTGGCTTGCGGGTATGTTTGGTTAGAATGGAGAAGAGTGTTCAGGTATTATAGGTACATATTGTCCTTTGTTCTACTGTTAGTTCACCTTCTTTGTACCAATCCAGAGCCAAAGCACTGATATACTAAAGGTATAGAATAAGTCATCACAATTTGCGTAAGCAAGTGAATCAGAAGGCCAAAGCATTATCGGATCATTGACCATGTGTTCCCCGTGATAAAATACAAACGAGTTGAGAAATGTCGTAGGGCTGTTTGGTTCTCTGTAATTGCATGCAACTGTGATTTTTTGAGCTAGTTGCAATTATTTGTTTCGTTACAACAAATAAATGTAGTTGAGACTACAGTAGCAGAAATGGTCTCTAGTTGTAGCCAATGGCTTACATATTGAGGCGTATGTCTGTAGTTGCAATGTTTTTGATGTGGAAACAGTGTTCGAGTTGTAACTCTCTTTGTAACCAACTCCAGACCGAAGTCCAAAAAGTTGATACTACAAATCCTATGCTTATCAACAGGGTGCTAAACCGTATTCGTATCCAAGAAAATATTCGTAAACGTATCCATTAGGATACGGATACGCTTACTCAAATCTATAACTGATATAATATGGTTACAGATATGGTTTTGTAGTAAAATATTCGGATCCGTATCCGAAATATCCGGATACATATTAGTCATATTGTTACAATGATTCTAATCCTTAGATTATGGATTTGAAGTTAATTTTAATGATCAAAATGTCTAATCTTAACTTTTCAAATATAATGAACATATTAATGAACTTTTTTGCATCAGCATAAACAATATTTTTTTCAATACTATATAGTTTTCTCATATTTGTTTTGTACCATATGCATATATGTCTATATAGTTGCACATAAATCCGTATCCGTATCCAATTTTAGTAGATATGGATATAAATTTTTTTTACCGAAGTATATCATATCCGTATTAGTATCAATATCCGAGATGAGTAAGCGGATGTGGATATGATAAGTATCATATTCAATCCGTTTCCAGACCGATGCACCCCTACTTATCAAACAAAAAGTTCAGGTATAGGTTCTCTCAAGTGCCAACTTGAGTCAGGTATTGAGTACTTGTCATGTAATTTTTGATAACATAAATAACCAAAAAGTTTGAAGGGAAAGAAAATGATCCATAAAAGGCATATAGCCAATTCTACGCTTATCAAACATAAACATTAAAAAAGTGAAGATCAGCAGGTCCTGAAAAAGAATACAGAGTGCCGCTCATAGAAGGTACAAAAGCTATAGCCAATTCTACGCTTATCAGACATAAACATTAAAAAAGTAACGCTCAAGTTATTTTAGATCATTAAGACAACAGTTTTACATCTGTCATATCTACTTCAAGCAAGATTATAAAGCAAAAAACTCAGCACCCTTTAGTCAATGTTCGGTACAAACAGAGAGAGCTTGAACTGTTCTGTTTATTCCCCCAGTAAACAGAAAGATAATAATACATGCGGAACTAACCATTCGTTCATGGGATACATCACTTCCTATGCACCAATACATAAAATATTGAACATTACAAAAGCCAATACAGATGAAACAACTCACGGTTCGGGCTTTGAAAGAATAGGAACTATCTAGGGAAAAAAGACTTTATCAGGGTTCAGAATAGCCATCTTATTTATTCATATGCAGTAAACCTGATGAGACTACATTAGCAGTTCAATGGGCTGCTTCCCTGCTGTAGAACTGATCCAAGGTTTTTGCAGGTATACGATGGAGAAGCTCACGAGGAAAGATACGGAGGAGAGTCCATGCGAGATCAAGAGACTGGAAGATGTTTCGAGTGTCATATGCGCCTTGAGTGACAAATTTTCTCTCGAATTTGTCCAAGAACTCAAGGTAGAGCTGTGTTCATAGATAAAAACCACAGTTAGCAAAAGAACATGGGGAAGGGAAGAAAACTGAGCGAAAGCACTGTCACCAAAATGATGAGAAGAGAGGCTATAATATTAGCAAAATAATACAGGAAATTTAAGCTATAGAGAGGAGGCAGGCCACTGCTAGAAAGATAATATGGCAAAATAATTGAGACAACGTTATTAGCAGAATAATATGGAGAAAACGTTTTAGCTAGACTCTAGAGGGAGCAAGAGAAACTGCTAATCCCAAAAACAAAATGACAAAAAAATTATATATATATATATATATATATAGAGAGAGAGAGAGAGAGAGAGAGACCAGATCTTCAGAAGAAAGAGCCTCTTCTCCAACAACAGCTTTCATAGCCTGAACATCCTTCCCAATTGCATAATTGGCATACAGCTGGATCGTTAAACAAAGTAGCATAAGGAAAAGCAGAATAAAAAATAATGTCAGCATATACGATAAAGGTACAAGACAAAATACCTGGTTTGATACATCAGAATGATCACGGCGGGTCATTCCTTCACCAATAGCACTCTGCAAAATAAATGAACTCACTGACATTTAATCAGAAGGCATATTGATTCGGAAGTGGGTAAGAAATGCAAAGTCTCACCTTCATCAATCGTGAAAGAGATGGAAGGACATTGATTGGTGGGTATATCTGTTAACATTAAAAAAAACTGCCTTAAAAACCATGGTAAATATGCCTCACAAGAAAGAGAACATTTCTAAACAGTATGTCGGGTGGCATAAGAGCCAGGTTAGGTACACAATATACCTGGATGAACTCAAAAGCAAGTAACAAGGATCTGATCCTTGTACCAGGTTAAAACAGATCATATCAATAAACAAATGGCGCTTAGATTCAACTCAATGAAACAATTTTTAGTCTTATTTATAAAAAAAACATGAAGATGGAATTTACGCCCACGATAAAGATGGAATTTACCCCTTTAATGGATTAACTACACCTTTTTGTGTTTAAAGTGCAATGCAGCATCTGTAAAAACATGAGCTTCTTTCTTTAAATAGAGAAATTTGAAGTATCTACAGTATCTTTAAGTCCCATCATGTCTTAGCTGATTTGACCATTTTTCTCCCTGATATAATTAAAAAACACACCAGGTCGAGTAGTACCTGTCGATTGTGGAGCTGCCGATCAATGTATATTTGGCCTTCAGTGATGTAACCAGTAAGATCGGGAGTGGGATGTGTGATATCTGCAAGAATAATGAAAAACCAAAAAACCGCAATTAATACTAATTTATGTATGTGAAGTCATAAAATTTAGACAGTCGGAGAATTTTGAATAAAAAGAACAGTTCCACCCATGATACCAGCATATGTGCTCATTATATTAATGGAATATCATACATATAATTTCTTATGTAAATAAAGTTTACTTGGGAAGAAGAGTTTTCGCTATAATATTACCATCATTTGGCATAGTTAGGATAGGTATTTGAGTAATGGAGCCTTTTCTTCCTTCAATACGCCCAGCACGTTCATATATTGTTGCCAGATCAGTGTACATGTACCCAGGATAACCACGTCTACCTGGCACCTCCTCTCTGGCGGCAGATACCTGGATCCAAAAGTAATATATACATCAGGCAAGTTCATCAAAATGAAAAATTAATACATGGCCCTGGAATCTTTTAACCAAGGTACAGATGTTAGTTACTGGCCATAATTTAGAGACCCAGCAAGACAAGGTTCAGAAGATGAATATCAAACATATTTAAGGAGCATATACCAGGCAAATGAAAGGTCCCAAAATGCATTACTATAGTCGGTTATAATGCAACATTTATCAGCAAGGAACGGGTAGCTCAAATTTTGTTACTCTTGAGTGGTATTTTAATTTATAGTTCCAATAAAGGCTCTCTACTTAGTTA